GGGCCTGGGTGCTGTCCCTCAGCTCTTCAGCTCAAGGCTAGCGCTCTACCACTTGAGCCACAGCGCCACTTCCGGCTTTTTTCTTTTTTCTTATGTGGTACTGAGGAATGGAACCCAGGGCCTCATGCATTGCAAGGCAAACGCTCTACCTCTGAACCACCTTCCCAGCCCCGATTAAACCATTTTCTAAGGTTTATAGAGGATAATTTTTATGAACTCGGAATCATATTCCCATTGGAATTTTATAGTACTTGAGATTCACTTATCATGGAATTCATCTAGCATCATAACTATATCTGCTATTGTTTCTATAAATGTACAATCAGAATTTTAATATTGTTTATATTTAAATTGAATGATGGTCTTTAAATGAAACATTTTTAGGGTAAATTGTCCTTTCATTCCTTCCTGCCTTTCTTTCTTTTTGATTTTGCAAACCTCCTCCTTCCTTCCCTTCCTTCTTTTTTATTTTCTTTCTTTTTCTTACTTCTCTTTCTCTCTCCTTTCTTTCATTCTTTTCCTTCCTTCCTTCCTTCCTTCATTCATTCGTTCCTTCTTTCCTTTCTCTCTCTCTCTCCCTTTCTCTCTTTCTTTCTATTTTTCCCAAGAAAAGACTGGGACTTGAACACAGTACCTGATGCTTTCACTCATTGGCTAGCACTGAGCCATGCCTCCAACCTCTATTTTTCTATATTTTATAGCTTATGACTTTTTGACAGAAAATGTCTTCCAGCCATATACAGTTTTCCCCACTAAAATATGTGGCTTCAATTATGGACTTTGATATAGCCAAGGAAGAATAAATTGAATTTGCTCTTAAGGAATGTGGCTGGGACTGGAGAAGGGAGAGGCCTGGGGTTGGCATTGACCTTGTTCTCTCAGAGAACAAGCTTAGCTCAAGAACCATGCCAGGGTCTCTAGTTTTCTCAAATTATGTAATAACCTTAGCAATGGCTAATACATTATAGGAATCACTCATGTCTCCCATCAGACTAGGTGAAGAAGATGAAGAAAGACAAAGTGTTGAAAAATGCATCACTTTCCACTTACTTTTGCTGGCGACAGAGGATAAGACAGCTATACAGGCAGAGAGATAGTTGGATGAAGGTATGTTCCTGGGGAACTCTGGACCTTCTGAAGGGTCTTCATGTCTCCAGTCTGTGACTGGCTGGAGGCACAACCTTCTGTCTTTCCTCATAGGTTCCGTGTTTGCTCCTGAGTCTTATTTCCTCCTAAACGCTACTGCCAGCATTCATTCTTCAAAAATGCTTTCTTCTACTAAGTCACTTCATTTAGTAGAGTTCATTTAAGTATCGTCTATAGTCTGTACCCAAAGAGCACCCAGAAAACCCCTGCAGTAGGACAACGTTGTATTGATTGGTTTGCTCCAGTGATGGAGATAATGTACAACCTGGAAGCAATAAGAGATGATCAGCACAGGATCCTGGCTTGTGTGAGATAATTTAGGTAAGAGTTCAAGGAAATGAAACTTTGTTCTGATTGGGTGCTATCAGAAAGCAGGGACATTTTTTATCATTGATGATTTCCAATGATAGTGTGGACCCATTAAGTAAGGCTACGCTGTACTTGGTAAAGAGGTAGCAATCATGTATATTTTTTGGGAAAAGGACATGTCTGGCCATTTTTGTGATTTGGACAATGTTCTTGTATGTGTCAATGGTCAGAGTGGTCATGTAGTTTATACTGAATATTGGATTCCATGAGATTGTTTATAGACAGTAGAAGAGCATCAGAACCTTAGCTACTAGAGCCAGGCCAGCTTTGTTGCCAGAGCTTTGAGCCATTCCCTTTTTTCCCTCAGAAGCAATTTTGGCTAGGCATCAGGCTCTCAGAGACAGAACAGTTAACAGAGAGTTTCAGTATTTGTGTTCAATCTAGTAGATTGAATAAATAGAGAAAAATTAATTACACAGGATAATAGTCCTGGAAAGATATTCTAATTGTCATGAACCTATAAAAAAAGACATTAGAGGGCTGGGAAGGTGGCTCAGTGGTAGAGTGCTTGCCCTGCATGCATGAGGCCCTGGCTTTGATTCCTCAGCACCATATAAGCAGAAAAAGATGGAAGTGGTGCTGTGGCTCAAGCGGTAGAGTGCCAACCTTGAGCTGAAGAGCTGAGGGACAGCGCAGGCCCAGAGTGCAGGCCTCACGACTGACCAAAAAAATAAAATAATATAAAATAATAGAGTCTAGACTTGGTTGCAAAAATGAACTTCATTTTTCCATATGTTTGGTTTTCTGAAGCAAGGCTTATCTTAGAACAGCAGCAAGCATGCAACCATCCCCCTTCAACTCTGGGTTACAACTGTGCATCACGGGCAGCAGCAGGAGGGAGTAATAGTTGAATAAGGAACACAGATCACATATTTGGGCAAGTTTTAAAGGTTCAAAACATGGTTGTCAATGATTTTCAGTAGAAGTTCTTTCCTCTCTTTTATGCCAAACACTAGGGGGGCATCTGAAAGATTATCCTCCAGACCCAACTCTGACTGCTTATTTTGGAAAAACTCAAAGATGGAGCTCATTGAGCTCACTTCCAATGTGATGAAATGTTTATTCCTGTCTCTCACACCCGTCCCTTACCTCATGAGATCAGGTGGTAGCTCTGCAGGTGCCACGTAAGAGCATCTATTCAGTGGTGACTGACCATAGCTATAAGACAATGGTCTGTTCACTTCCCCTAGGGCCTCAGGACACGGTCCCATGAATATGATCCTGAAGAACCTTGCCTCTCATAGTCTCAAGACAGGAAGGAAATAGAGAGACTGGTCTGGCTGGATGAATCTGGGGAAAATTTTATGACTTAGTCATACTAATTGGTACTATAGGAACAAGCAGTGCAGGATCTCAGATTTAGATCCTTGGAATATATTTTTGGGCATCCCTCTCAGTAATGTAGGATGACTCAACAATGCATCATTTGTTCCCTTTTGGTACAGATTCTGAGTTCCTTCTCAATCTGACCCACCTATTCCCTAACAATTGTACTCTATGATAACTAGCTAAGATATTCTTAAGGAAGATAAGAAGAGATAGCCAGAAAATGTCACCAGAAAAATGTCTTTAATGCCAATTTGAAGGTATATGCCATAAAGTTCTTCTATAGATTCTACTTTCTTCTTGAGATCAAATGGAAGCATTTCAAAGATACAAACCTCTCTAGTCTGAAAAAAAAAAGCTCCAGATGGAGTTAGGTTGGAATAGAATTTCCTTTTGGTATTGGGATGCTGGCTAAAATCCAGATACCAGAATAATAGACACCACTGATCTCTTTATGTTAATGTAAGGCTAGAAGAAGCCACTGGAAGGCCTTACAGAACTGACTATGAAATGACAGAGCCATGCTTATTTCTTCCAGCTACCTATTTGGAAGACTGAACTTCGATGAGAATTTTTCAGGTAGGGAAGTCATTCATTGTCCTCGAAATGAGTGATTGGATTTCTCCTTTATCTCAT